GGCGTTTTAACCCTCCAGTCCCTCCAACAACAACTTGGTGGGGTGGGTTCTGGGAACGCCTTGTCGGCATTTTGATGAGATTATTGCGGAAAGTTCTTGGTCAGGTGGCGCTCACTTATGAGAACTTACTAACCGGTATATGCGATTGTGATTTTTTACTAAATAGTAAACCCCCGACCTCTGACGTATATTTCGGAAGAGGCCAGTGAATTTGGACCACTTATACCAGTTATGTTTACGCGCGACTTATCCGAAGGTACTTTGCCTGAATGTGAAGTGGTAGACCAATCATCAATGTGTCGAAAGGTAAGGCGAATACAAAAGATTCGGGACGATTTGAGTTTAAGATTTCGTAATGAATACCTTGGACAACTTCTTTATTGTCTTTTTTACTGTATGCGATATATAGGTTTCCCACTTCATATCATCCCTGACCTAGACTCCTAGCTAAGAAGAAGGATGTTGTTTCTTTTACAAGAATTTTTTCGAGTACTTTAGAAAGTGGTGCAGGTCAGGTTTATGGGTCTATGAGTATTCTGAGTCTGGACTTAAATAGGCTTTTAGGTAACTAGCTTTGGTAACTTTTTCAAAATAAACCAGTCACTAAGTTCCTGGGCCTTCTGATAGACAACAAACTTAAATTTGATAGACACATTTCATCATTGAGTTCTTGGCTGGCCTCTGGTTGCTTTGCTAATGGAGTGGTTTCCAAATTCCAACCAATCGGATACCACGACAAGGATGGTGTATTTTTCACTTTTTGAATCGTACCTTCGATACGATATAGCATTTTGGGGCTTCTGTAACCAACAATATTTGTTTAACAGAAAAAAGCAATAGGATTTATGTCTTGGGTGGGAGTTAGGTAACATTGCAGACCACTGTTTATTACACAGGAGATATTGACAGTAGTGTCATTATTTATTCTTGAAACAGTGTGTCTGATTCACAAAAAATCGTGTTTTGAGGTCCCTTAACGCTTACATAACACAAGGACCACAAGCTTAAATGCAAACCAAAATCTACGTCTCCAATTGCCAAACTCGCGGTTCAGGAAAAAGGTCTATAAACCTAGCAGTCCCAAGGTGGAAAAAACTTCGGGGACTATATAATAATTAGGTGCTTTTTAGGTGCTAATTAGAGCCTCTAATTAAAAATTAGGTGCTCCTCTAGTTTTTGAGAAAATCAAAAAAAACTAAGGGATTGCGCTAGGTTTATGGAAGCTAGTAGTCCCCTATAGTAAAAAATATTTTTCCAAAATTTTCTCTCGTATCAGAATTAGGTGCTTTTTAGGTGCGCCTAATTAGTCCAAGAAAAAATAGAATTGATTAATTATTAACTGAGTTAGATTTTTTTTTTAATTATTAGCGGACTGCTGGCTTCACGTTTACATGTTGGTGTGTCAGAATGACGAAAAAACTTAAAACCTAGCAATCCCTTAGTTTTTTTTGATTTTTTCAAAAACTAGAGGAGCACCTAATTTTTAATTAGAGGCCCTAATTAGCACCTAAAAAGCACCTAATTATTATATAGATCTTGAAGTTTTTTCGTCATTCTGACACACCAACATGTAAAAGTGAAGCCAGCAGTCCCCTAATAATTAAAAAAAATTCTGTAACTCAGTTAATAACTAATCAATTCTATTTTTTCTTCGACTATTTAGGAGCACCTAAAAAGCACCTAATTCTGATACAAAAGAAATTTTTGGAAAAATATTTTTCACTATAGGGGACTACTAGCTTTCATAAACCTAGCAATCCCTTAGTTTTTTTTGATTTTCTCAAAAGCTAGAGCAGCACCTAATTTTTAATTAGAGGCTCTAATTAGCACCTAAAAAGCACCTAATTATTATATAGATCTTGAAGTTTTTTCGTCATTCTGACACACCAACATGTAAACGTGAAGCCAGCAGTCCCCTAATAATTAAAAAAAAATCTGTAACTCAGTTAATAATTAATCAATTCTATTTTTTCTTGGACTAATTAGGAGCACCTAAAAAGCACCTAATTCTGATACAAAGAAAAAATTTGAAAAAATATTTTTTACTATAGGGGACTGCTAGCTTTTATAAACCTAGCAGTCCCTTAGTTTTTTTTTGATTTTCTCAGAAACTAGAGGAGCACCTAATTTTTAATTAGAAGCCCTAATTAGCACCTAAAAAGCACCTAGTTATTATATAGTTCCCGAAGTTTTTTTCCACCTTGGGACTGCTAGGTTTATAGACCTTCAGGAAATGGTGAAGAGTGTATTGATGCCATGCAAGGTCCTATTACAGCCCTATGGTATTTTAATTTTAATTTTCTGTTCTCATTTGTATTTTTGTTTTATTAATTGTTTATAAATTATTTGCTATAACTATAACTGCTTTGTAGACAAGACATTTTTTTTTACAAGAGTATTTTGATTTTTTGATTTTGTCCTACACGAATTGCAGATAAAAGCAAAACCTTCATTGATTATATTATTACAAATGGGAAACACCTTCCGTATAAGGTTCATCTAACCTGAGAGATCAGTGACCATAATATATATATGGTCCAAAAATTATCCATTGGGAACTATTTATACAAGATCTATGAAGAACTACAAGTATTGAGGCATTACAGAGTTGCCTTTTGGAAACCCCTTGTAATAATAACGCCACTGATGTAAATGTTCTGGCAATTCCATTTATAGATACTATTTCTGATGTTTTGAATCAATAATTGTCCTAAGTTGGAAATATAGGTATTTTATTGAGACTATATTGATAAAAACAGATCTAACTCCAAAGAATTGTGGAAAAATCTGTAAACGCTACTGCCATCCATATGTGTCGAGGATATTGTAAATAGCATTTTAAAATTATCTGTTGTTAACGTTGTTAGTGATGTGTCAGTGACAGTTCAGAGATATGAAGATTTCACACAATTTAACCCTATCAATGTCAGATATGATTGATATGAAGAAACTTTTAAAGGACATTTAATTGATGGGGTACTGAAACTTTTTTGGGCCCTGTGTTGTTTTTTTCCCTACATAAATGATATTGTGAATGTTGTCAATAATTTTAGCGTTGCATTGTTTACAGAAAATACAATGCTTTAATATTGTGGGTGATGAGTTGAATGATATGCAGGCAGAAATTAATTCAGGATCTAAATGCTATATTTTAATGGTTTTGTAACAACAACTTGTATTTAAATATGACAAAAACGAAATTTTGTCTTTTTGGTAGAGAACGTAAATTGAATAATACTAAATGTTGATGACTTACTTATAAAATGTTTGTATAAAGAAGCTAGCACATGAAAAAGACATTAAATACCTATGAGTGTCATTTTCAATTCAAACCTGAATTTCTATACGCATGCTGATTATGTCATGAATAAATTTTCCAAAAAAAGTAGGTTTTATTTAAATATCAAGAAGTTTGTCCATTGATACAAAAATGTTATTATATATAGCCGCGCCTCATTTGCGATTCTGTTCTACAATTCTGTATTATCTACTAAATTTTGAACTTGAACAAATGCAAACTGTCCAGTAGAACATCGCTATGAGAAGTGTATTCAAAAGTAACCGATATAGGTACACACCAATTCAAACTATGTTACCTAAATGTCCTTAATATCTTGCCTGTGAAACAAAAAAATAATGTTCAATGTTTGTTTATTTATATTTAAATTAGGTAAGGATTAATATTGCCTGATTATGTTCGTGATAGAATTAGGGTTTTTAGAGAAGTCCATCATAATTATAACACTAGAAATTGCAATAATGTTATACTGAGAGTGTAATTCTAGTTTTGTGTTTCACTCTATTTTTCAGACAGGATTGTAGGAACTTAATGGCTTGCCTCCTGCCATTAAAAACTGTGACAGCCTTGTATTGTTTAAGAAACTTTTGAGATATTTTGTTATGTCCAAGTTTTGGAGAACTTTAACAGTATTTGTTTCAAAATTTCACTAATCAGGAAGCTTTCTATCACATTAAAAAGCCTTACACTGAAGGTGCACCTATCATAAGGTAAAGGTGAGTCTTTTTTATATAACAAGTAGGTTTCAGCGCGAAAAATACACTTTTCGCACGTGTTCGATTTGATTTACTTTTTTCAAACCAAATTGAAAAAAAAACACCTTTGTAAGTAGGAAAACATTGGGTTACCTTACACGTCGATAATGAAAAGTCCACTTTCCGCTAACATTAAATTCAAAAATTTGATTCCTGTCTAGTGGTTCTATAGTAGGCCCGCCGCCCATTGACTTTTCATTCATTGCTGTCAGCTTGCTGGCGCATTCGTTAAAAGCTAAGGTTCACTTTCGCCAAACTGACAAGAAAACTATAATTATTCTAGTAGCGGAAAGTGATAGTTTTCCGCATTTGATCCATTAACAGAATTATTCACGCTTGATGTCAGTGTTTTACCTCATTATTCATTGTTAGATTTCGAGAAAACTGACCCGATGGCACAATAGCTTTTTTACCAAACAAGGGCGGGAAGTTATAGTTTTCCGTTTGCGCCGGCACAGTTAACTTTTTAGTAAAATGTATTTTAAACCCTAGATTTTGAAAAATTTTAATTTCAAATGAACATAATGTAGGTAAATACCTAAAATATTGCAGTATTGCAGTGCGAAAAAGTTCTACTTTCTGTGCGCTTGTAAAAAAATAGTTGTTGATATTCGACCCATTGATGTCAATTTACCTGCGCATTTATAATTGACAAAATCTTGCAGGAAAGTAAATTTACCGCAGTAGTGCGGAAACAAGGTAGGTACCTACTGCATATGATATTATATGTATGTATATATTATTATAGCTGCTTCCATCTGATAATTTTATCATGTAAACCTTTTTTCTTTTCTGTCCATCCTTTGTCGTTGATTTTTCTGTAATTTTTTGCAGCTATTCACTTTCTAAGCTTATTTGTAATAAAGAACTACATTACACATGAAAAACAATCCAGAAAACTACACTTTTCCTTCCCTCCAATTCGTAAAAAGAATAAACTACCTACCTAACAAATGGGAATTTTTTTTATTCTTCTAAAAATTTACAAAATATTTTACACACAACCATCCGTCAAAATTATCCTACCTAGAAAAAATTAAATTAAAAGGAAAATTATACTAAAAAGAAAAAAGAAAAATCATATTAAATATATGGCTTAGTTTTGAGTATTTTCCTTCAGTAACCAGAATATAGAGCTTGCGTTTGCGCTTGCGGCTGCCTGTAGCCAGCATTTAAAGTACTGTACTGTCCTTGCGGTACCGCCTCGTACCTTTGAGGCGACTTGGCAACCTTGTTGTTATACAAAAAGTTTTGATTCGGTTCGTACCTTGTCCTCTGATAACCGTTGCTGTAGTCGATACCCGAACTAAATCCAGTCGGGAAAGCTCTGATGGGTAAATTCGGCAAAGTCGGATTAAGGGCGTCATTCAAAGTGACATCGTATTCGTTTAGGTCTAGAGGATTTTTTGGTCTTTGCGTAGTGCGAGCTTTATAGGTTTGTTGCCTGGAAGGCTCTAAATCTATAAGTTCTTCAGTGTATTTGGGACGAACTGGGACTTTGATTAAAACAGGAGATGGTTTGAATTTTTCCTCGGGCTTAGCTTCTTCATCTTGAGCATAGTCTGAGTCAATGTATTCTTCGGATTCGATTTCTGGAGCAGGTTTTTCTACTGCTTTGAGTCCCACAGGTTGTAGGCCTCTGGAAGCATAAGGACTACCTCCTCTGCTAGGCAAAAACGGTCTTTTGATTATTCGCATTACAGGTTCTTTGCGTGGAGCTTCTGTTGTGGTTGTACTAGTAGTTGTAGTAGTTGTTGTTGTAGTTGTAGTCTTTTTTTCGGTTTTTAAGATTGGCCGTTGTTCCTCAACTTCTTCATCCAAATATTCTTCATCTTCATATTCTTGGCTTACAGGAGCAGGTTTTTTAGTGGTGGTTGATGGCCTGTATCTATTTCTTTGAGTATATTTGGGTTTTGGTGGTGTAGTGCTTTTTTCTACGACTTCTTCTTGTTCGGGTTTTCTTGTTCTAGGCCTAGAGCCACTTGGTTGAGTTTTTGAATCGTCATTTTTGGATTTTTTAGATTCTTTCGCGGGCCTTCTATTAGTTGGACGTTTTGGTGCAGTTTCCTCATAGTCTTCATATTCTTCTTCAGGTTTTGGCGTAGTGGTTGAACCTCCTAGTGACTTAGTTGTATATGCATACTTGTCTGCGGCATTTTTAGGCACAGGAAGATTAATTCTCGGAGCCACTCTTGGTCTATCGTAAATGGTGCCAGTTGAAGATTTAATAATGGGTCTTCCGTCGTTGCTGGTTTCTTCTTTCTGTCCACCCTGTTTTTTTCTGGGTCTATCTTCGTAACTTCTGCTATCGTCGGATTGAGGCAATTCGTCCTCGTATTCATCGTCGTAGGCGGGTCTGCGGTTGGATTTTCTTGGAGGTTTGCGATCGGAGCTTTGCTCGCGTTTTTCCGCTGAAGGGCGGCGTTTTTCAGAAGGACGTTTTCTTGTAGAGCCTTCATCATCTTCTTCAGGGGCTTTGCGACGATCATCTGGCTTAGAACGTTTTGGAGCTAGAAATCATTGAAATTTAGAATTATCAAATAGGTAGTTGAAAGCTCTATATCAGGCAAACATAAATTAGCATTGTTATGGATTCATCGAAAAAGACACCAGAAATAACAGTTTTGATGCCATCTCGTTGTTTACCAAGGTACCAGGGAATCAGGCCTGAAAGATGTTTTTCCGGAGAATATCAACAACTTATTTTGCCATTGTCTGACGACTAAGCCCAGATAACACAATGTGCGTCAATGTGCTCGAAAAGTTCCGGCCGACTTTGGAGAAAATAGTATTTCAATGGTAATGCTTTGGAAATATGCTAAAAGTGCGTATAATAAAACGAACCAAATCAAAATAAGCTAGCAGCATCGAAGAAACTATTTCAACTTTTAAATTGAATGATCTGTAATGTGCAGGAGAACCACTGCAAAACCGCATAATTTTAGTGTGCGAATTAGCGGTACGCTAACAGCACTTCCTGAACACTTACCAAGGTACCGAAAGAATAGAGTCTGCTCTGAGTGCTCTACCTGCGCTGCCTGAGAGCCTGCAGTCGGCAGTGATTGATAATAGGTTTAGAGATACTCCGATCGTGCAGGTGGTGCACCACAGAGGTGCAACCCCCACCACACATATCAAATGTGGGAAGGAAAGGGATAAAAAGGCGACAAGAAGGCAATCAGAAGCAAGGAAGCCTGAGCCGAAGCTGCCGGCTGCCGCCATTGCGCCATTTTTAATGTTTGCATTTTTGGGCATTTAGTTTCGTACGTGTTTGGGTTCTGTGCGTGTTTTCGGTTTCACTGGAAGAATAATGAGTTCCAAAGGGTAAGTGAGTGATGATTATCAAATATTAGTTATGGGTTAATCCAAATTATTTCGTTCTGCGCTGTATGTGGTGCTTGTAGGTGGTAATGCATGCGTGGTGGGTGTGTTTGTGTTTTCACTGTTTATTTAACGAAACTATGCAAAATCGTATCAATTTTTTTAGGGCCTATTCGACAAGATATTATTGCAAAATAAGTTCACTTTATTAGATGAACCTTTCGCCCTTTACGTAGGTACCCGACGAAGCTGCCAAATTTGAAATCTGTCATTTCAAATTTTCCATCCCCAAAACGACTCCGATATGTATGAATTAATAAGTCTTTAATTGGGCATCTTATTTTCTCATTTGAGCCACGTACCCCCTGTACTTTAATAGTTTCCAAAAACCCCATTAAACTCATTTTATTTGGTGCCCTCTGTGTCTCGTATAGGAGATTTTAATTTAAGTATGATTTCTTTTTCAGGTAGGTACCAGGAAAAGCGAAGAAGAATTATTTAGAAGAAATGAATATGTTTTATTTTATTTTTTATTTATGTTTCCTATGTTTATTTATTAAGAGATCATAATTTCAAAATGTTTGTTTTTTATTTGCAATGGGCTATCAGTGAAATAAAAAATGTACTCAAAAAATACTTCAATGAAGTACTTTAAGAGTACAATATAAATTTACCAAAAAAAGATGTTCTAGTGGTGCTTTTTCTCTGTCGGAGAAGTGCTTTTATGTAGCATTTCACGAATACTTCCAACGTACGCTTGGAGCACTTAGAGCACTCCATGTTGGAAGTGCGCAATTGCAGTGCTTCTACGATTGCGCCTTTTTTTTACTGGCCGGCTGGACATCCCAGAAGCGGCTGAGTGGTTTTCACAAGTACTGCTCAGGCACGCAAATGTGAAAATACAGTACAATTGAAGTACTTTTCATGTAGTTTTGTGTTATCTGGGAGTACTTCCAATGGCAAAATGAATTCTTTGAGCAGACAGATGGAGTCGCAATGGGGAGTTCACTCAGCCCGGTTATCGCCAACTTCTACATGGAACACTTTGAACAAATGGCACTGCGAACAGCCACAAAGAAACCTACTTGTTGGTTTTGCTATGTAGATGAAAGTGAGGACTTTCCACCCGGAAGGAAAGTAAAATTCGAAAGAGTGTCACTTTCAAACTTTTGAAAAGTCAGAAATGTATATATTCAGTGGCGCAGCAAGGCATCAGAGAAAAATAGAGAAATAATGAAGATGAAGTAGACAAAAGCTGTAAACTGCTCATATCATTAAAAGCTTATGGGGTGTAAGCCAAAAATACGTATCTGGTTTATAATATGTAAAAAAACTCCAAGAACAACATCGAAAACTTCGCCTTTCTGCCGGATTTCTATCAAAAGATATCAGTCTTCAGTGTTTGCAACAAAACGTAGACGTGACGTCATATTCGCGTGTGGAGCCCAACAGATTCTGCTTTTGTGTATGCACCATCGTCACCAAAAGTATCTGGGACAAAAATAATGCATGATAATCTCCTGGACTAATTCTACTGTCATTCATTTCAATGCATTGGATTCATAGTTTGACAAATATTTGACAATAAAATTAATATAATAGTACAAGCGCTAATATGACAATAATGGTAGGTACCATCGTCACCAAAAGTAACTGGGACAGCATCACATTAGCTCTTGTCCTATTAGATGAATTTTATTGTCAAATATTTGTCAAACTATGCATTAAATGCATTGAAATGAATGACAGTAGAATTAGTCCAGGAGATTATTATGCATTATTTGTGTCCCAGATACTTTTGGTGACGATGGTACATACTTTGGTTCAAAACCAAAGCCATGTTTCGTTTCAGCTATTTGAGTCAATCCGTATTTAACACGTTAACCGCCGTGTAGGTCACCGGTGACCTACGGGTAGTCGCGCCTGGGGCACCGCGTAGGTCACCGGTGACCTACAGCAAATTTTGTCAACAACTTTGTCGAAACCCAACGTTAAATGGGATTTCAAGGCGGTGTGGTGACCTACGACGACTCTTCATGTGCAGGAATATCATGTTTTTTCTGTATTGTATGTTGCATACCATTTAGGTTCATATCATATATTTGCAAAGGGATTTTGTTGCCTGCCACGCCGCGTAGGTCACCGGTGACCTACGCCCTGAAATCAAGATTACGGCCCGATGGAGAATGATATCACTGTATTTCAAGTAGGTACTGGTATTTTTCAAATGCCATTTTCTATCCAAAAATTCAAATGGCCTGGGAGGAAATTTTTTTGAAAATCGGCTTGGCAGTTAACGTGTTAAGTGAGAATCGTAGGATTTTTTACTTTGATTCTTCGGTATCCGAGCGGTTGTGACGTCACTCTTCCACGGTTATTTTGAAAATTTCTCAAAAACCGTCAGGCATAAAATGGTGCGGCTTGAAATATTATTCTTTGAATTTGTTATGCAGACATTTTGATTTTTAGTTTACATTGCACCCCCCCTAAAGGATAGGTGGTCTGTGGTCTGTGTAAATTAAACCCCTATAATTTTTTCTGCATGGCCCCCTCCAGACAAAATTTCTGGCTGCGCCACTGTATATATTACGTATGTATGTGGTTGTAAATAAACTTTTTTTACTAGATTGGCATAGTTTTTTTTTTTTTTTTTTTACGGATATGCGCACTCGCAAGGAAATGTCCTATCACGCTCGAGAAGCGGCAAGTGCGCGGAAATGTCGGTGTATGTTGGTCTTGAAACGGTTCAGGTTGTAACCTGCAGGGAAAACCGTCGCAGGGAGTTTATTCCACAGCGATGCTGTTCTCCAGAGATATGAATTCTGATATAATGAGGTTCTTGGTGCCTCTAGTTTGACAGTAAATTCATGGTTACCGTCTGTTTGACGGGTTCGCCTGGTAGGCGCTACTCTCGGTGGAATCATACGTGCCAACTCTTCAGAGCATTTTCCGTGATAGTACCTGTAGAAGAGAGATAAATCGCCCACAGATCTGCGATGTTCGAGACCATCCAAGTTACGAGTAAGTGCGGGGTCATTGATCAGCTTGATAGCTCGTTTTTGCACGGTGTTCAAAAGCATTAAGGTATGTTTGGGTGCTGCACTCCATATATGTGAGCAGTACTCCATAGTTGGTCGAATCTGGGCTTTGTAGAGTGTCAGCAATTGGCTTGGTGTGTACAGATGTCTTGTACGAAATAGCACCCCCAGCTTTTGGGACGCCCTTTTAGCAATATCTGCCACGTGATTGTGCCAAGACATGTTGGTCTCTGCAGTAACCCCCAAGATGTTCAGCTGACTCTGTAATGTGACAGCACTTCCAGATAGCATAATGTTTGGCTCACCGGTGCTGTTCTTTTTTGAAAACAGAGCTGCTTGGGTTTTCTGTGCGTTGAACTGTACAAGGTTTTTGTTACCCCAGTCCTCTATTATCTCCAGGTCGTTATTTATCTGCGATATTTGAGTTAGTCTAAGATGATGGAATTCACGTGCGGAAAGACCTGTGGGTGGTATGAGTGAAGAGACTACATTGCCATCGTCTGCAAAGCAATAAAGTGGATTTACTGTTCTATCTATGAGGTCATTTATGTAAATCAGAAAAAGAGTTGGCGAAAGGATTGCTCCCTGTGGTACACCAGCATTTATTTGGTAAGAGTTGGAGTACTGGCCATCCAGTGCAACATAAATGGATCTGTCCTTTAGGTAACTTTCAAACCAAGTGCAAAGTTTCGGCGATAATCCCATTGCTTTGAGCTTGTTGAGCAGATTTTCATGCCAAACTTTGTCGAATGCTTTAGATATATCTAAGGCAATTGTTCTTGTTTCACCCCGCAACTCAATCGCTTTTTGCCATAAGTGAGTGACGTATGTAAGTAAATCGCCAGTTGACCTATATTTTCGAAATCCGTATTGCTTATCGTTGATAATTCTGTACTTTTCCAAGTACTTGGTTAGGTGATTGTTCACAACTCTTTCCATTACTTTTGATATCACCGGAAGTAGAGCAATTGGTCTATAGTTTAACGGATCTGTCTTTTTTCCTTTCTTTGGAATGGGTTGTACTGCGGCAGACTTCCATGATGATGGATATACTCCTTGCCTGTAAGACAAATTGAATAATTTTGCGAAAATTGGGGTGAGTTCGTTGGCGCAATTTTTGAGTACTATTGCGGGAATGCCATCCGGACCCATTGCTTTGTTTGTATCCAGCTTTTTAAGGGATTTTCGTATTTCTCTGTGACAAAAGGGTACCTCTGGCATACTATGGGAAACCCTTTCAATGAACGGTGAAGTTTTTCCGTTTGGCACTGTTAGGTTGGAGTTGGAGGAAAACATTTGGGCCAGCATATTGGCTTTTTCCTCTGATGTTGTGGCTAAGTGATTATTTTTATCTGTAAGTGGTGGTATGGATGACTTGGTGAAGTTAGATCCAACAGCTTTTGCAAGAGACCAAAAGGACCTAGAACTACTTGGACAATTCAGCAACCTGTTTTTTATTCTTTGATTGTATGTTTCTTTAGCGGAGTCAATAGTAATTTTGCAACTATTTCTGGCTTCTATAAATTCTGTGTGGTTTTGAGCGGTTTGTTGTCGTTTCCAAAGGTTATATGCTCTGTGTTTTTTCTGTACAGCCGTTTGACACTGGCTGTTGAACCAAGGTTTTGCATTAGCTCTACGTTTAGTTGTATGTGGGATATATGCATCCATTCCAGATAAGATTACTTGTGTTATTTCATTACAGCAAATAGTGGGATCAGCTGTTTTAAAGCAAACCTCTTGCCATGGAAAATCCAGGTAAAACTGTTTTAGGTCATTCCATGTTGCCGATTTATAGTGCCACATTTTACGAGGAAGTGGTTGTTGGCTTGGTGGGATGAGCATTCCGCAGTTAACAAGGATATGTCTCTTTCCTTGAATTTCACGAAAAGATTTTGAATTGTCTCATAACTACAATTGATTTTGAAATCTCAAATTCAGGTATTTTAGAATTAATACTCAATACTGAAAACACTGACTACAAGACACTCTGTAGACTCAAGAGTTCGTATCAGAACCATGGAAAATCAAGTCAAAAGATTTTGAAGTGTCTCATATCTGAAATTGTTGAAAAACTCATAATTCTGAGAACTTTTGAGTCAAAATTCTTGGTTCTAAGTTAATACTGACACCCGAAGTAAATAAAATCTACGATTTAAAAATCTCAAATTCAGGAATTTTCGAATTAATACTCAATACTGAAAACACTGACTACAAGACACTCTGTAGACTCAAGACTTCATAACAGAACCATGGAAAATTAAGTTAAAAGATTTTGAAGTGTCTCATATCTGAAATGGCTGGAAAACTCAAAATTCTGAGAAATTTTGAGTCAAAATTCTTGGTTCTAAGTTAATACTAACACCCGAAGTAAATAAAATCTAGGATTTAAAAATCTTAAGGAGTCAGGAATCTTCGAATTAATACTCAATACTAAAAACACTCGGACTACAAGAAACTCTAAAGACTTCGAAGATATGCAGGTCGGACAAGTGAATAGCTTTACACAATTGGAGGAATACAGTCTTAACATTAATTGAAAGGTTGGTTTTCTCAAACATTCTCGTCAGACGAAAACATCACCAAAGAAAACAATAGGATATGAACAAAAAAATATGATAAATGCCGTTCGAGAAGAGAAGACCTCAAAGATTATATAAAAAATTAAGGTCTGAAATGATTCAATCATATACGCATAAATATTCATATGCAAACCACCAGAAAGGAGAAAATCTTAGAACATAGAGCAAACTATACCTGGAAGATAATCTTCATCTTCAAATTTTTCATCTACTTCTACATCATCGTCGTCGTACTCTGGTTTCTTTCTGTCTTTGTTCCTTCTTCTCGATGGTCTTCTTCTCGTGTTGGTACGCCTACTTTCGTACCTAAAACAAATCTATTAATTATTTATCCGATTTTAATTATTCATCATCACCTTTCGTCCTCGTATTCTTCATAATCCTCTTCATCTTCGTAAACGGGTCTAGGGCGCGGTCTGGGTCTCTTGCGGCCTCTATTCGCTCTAGGTCGTTCTTCGTAGTACTCCTCGTCGTCGTAGTATTCATCGTCGTAGTACTCGAATTGGGGCCTCCTTCTACGTGTTGGTCTACGTCTAGCACCACCACCACCACCACCTACAAACATGGGTGTTTAGCTTATCAGGGATTTGGTCAGTGGTTTCTCACAAGTGGAGTTACCTTATATATTTTATGGAAACCATCAAAAATATATTTTTCTACATAGATAAATTACATACCTTGAGCTCTTCTGGGCAATGTGGAATCGTCACCATTTGGAGGAGCCGTAGTGTAAATGGCGGATTTCAGGTTTATTGGGGCACTTGTGGTTGTCGATTGCGTTTGATAGAGAGCATCGTTTCTGAAAAAAATTGAAAATGTGATCAGACTTATTTCAGATAGATATATTTATTGTTATTCATTCTATCTTGTTAATCTGGTGCTTTACAGATATTCTCTCGAAAGCAAAAAGAAAATTGAATGTGGCTTTTCCAAGTATGTTTATACGTTGTAATTAATAAGTATAGGTATTCTTACCTGTGCCAAAACTTTTTCGAATTGACACAATCCACAACAGACACAAATTGGCAGATAAAAGTTTTCTGATCGAAGGCAGTATAGTTGGCGCAAAGGAAATCGTATCTCGTTCCGAAAAGGCAGTGATGATAAACCTAAAAAAAATCACACATTTCTATTACCTCACAACGATTATTACGTGCATGTGATTATGGTATTTCCTCATTTTATTTTGTAAAGTTATTCAATTAGCGCGACAAAAAAAAAATTAACCTTGCCGCTATAATATTGTTCACTTTCACTTTCGAGGCCCTCTGGTGTAATAGGCTGACCAGAGAGTGAAATTGGTCTGCATTATTTATGATTATTGAAATCAATAAATATTATTGGTAATAATTAATACTCACTTGACATTTGTGTGGTATACTAGCATAAAATCCATCGTGTAATCCGTCACACTTAAATTCTATCACTTCATCAGGTACCTATATAGAATACACTATTAGTAACAGAATATAAAAGTTTTAAATCTACTTACCCTTTCATAGAAGGGGTACTCGGACAAATTATAACCGTTCAATTCTTTGGGCAAATTTGGATCCCAAACGTAGTCAATTTGGGGTATCCCAGTAAGTGTATGGCCGGTACTGTTACCAGTACTGTTACCATTATTAGTACTGTTACTATTACTATCACTACTAGCTGGTGTACTAGTTGCAGTCTGAAAACAATTATTGAACATTACGCAATCAGTTCTTACACATATTTCAAATTAGTCAATACGTGCAAATTAATGTCATTTAGTGTCTCTTGATAGTTTTTAAATCGGAATTTTGAAGTAAAATCTACCTCTTGAAGATTTTAGTGCAAAATAATTATAATTATTTTATTATTAGGCAATTAGAGATGTTTGACCTTTATGCGACGGCCAACGTAACTCATGTGTAGAAACAGGTGCCTCTAATTTATGGAAACCTTGATATTATCATCTCTCAGAGGATCTAACTTTTTATTTAATTATCAACATTTTGTGGGAGTACTTATATAGATTTTCTTGAAAGACATAAATAGAGGTAAATGTCATTGACGTAATTATATCTGAAAAAAAAAATAATAATATTCAATATTCTAGAAAGGTCATTTGAACATTGTCCACATATTGTATTATTTTCATAAATTTTAATTTTGACTTTTTGGAATAATTCCTAACAAATTTAACACAAACACTGGAGAAAGACCCCATAAAACCCCACAAAGACATAGGTACATCAAATTAATAAAAGAATAACGAAAACAATTTAAAAAAAAAAACAGCAAAAAATATCATGTAAACCGAAAGGGTAGTCCAGAAAAATTTAGCAACGAAACAAAACAAATGCTGGAGAAGAGAAAGGAACTCGTAAAACAAGGAAAAAAAGATACACCAGAATACAGAGAGATTAACAAAACAAGACATTAGAAACTACCAAGAAGCACAAATCAAAAAACTGATAGAACAACAAAAAGGCTCAAACATTTTCAAACAGGAGAACGCACACAAAAAAGAAATTATAAAGCTGGGGTGGACTAACAAGGAAACACTATAGAAGACAGAGATGGAATAGGTACTGCGTGTGGCGGAAAATTTCTGTAAGGAAGTATACGACGCAAAAATCAGCAACGAAAATAACAAACAAGAAACCGAAAGCGAAACATCCAAAATTCTTAATGTTGGGTAAGAAGAGATCCCTGATATAAAAGAGGAAGAAATTGCAAAAGCGCTAAGCCAATTAAACAACGGAAAGGCCCCATGAATGGATGATATACTAACAGAAATAGTGGAAGGGGCAGGAGAATAGCTTGTAAATGTCTAACAGTGATGGGAAAATAGCACACGACTGAAAGACTGTCATCGTCGTTCTGATATACAAAAAAGGAGACCCATCAAATCTTGAAAACTATAGACCCATAAGCCTCTTGTCAGTCCTGTCTCAGATATGCAAACTGTTTATGAGAATAATCACCAACTGCCTAGAAAGGCAATTCAAAGATTACCAACCTAAAGAAGAAGCAGGCTATAGAAAGAACTACATCACAATAAAAATACTAAATAAAAAAACGACCGAATATAACATTACAACATAGCTAGCATTCATCGAAAAGCCTGTCGAATTCTGGGCAATAGAGAGAGCTATGAGAAATGTACGAATAGATCAGCTTTGTATAAATATATTCAAAAATATTCAAGAAGCAACAAAAAGTAAATTAGGAATGCATAAAGATTCAAACGAAGTGAAGATCAAGAGAGGCGTAAGACCAGGCGATATATATCATATCGCCTAAGCTGTTTACCTTTACATTGGGAAAATAGAGGAATCAATGTGTCTGTTGAACCTCAGTAATTTAAGATTCGCTGATGACATCGTAATATCTAATATTCACCCCGAACGAAATAGACTTAGAAATCATGCTGAAAGAATTCCTCCAAGAAGCCAAGAAGATCGAATTAGAAATGAACATATCAAAAACAGAGTTTATGACAAATGAGCAAACAGATAGGGACACAATATCCATAGAAAACCAACAGGTGAAAGAAGTAAACTCCTACAGGTATCTAGGACAGAAAATAACACTTGGCAAAGGTAATCAAGAGCTTGAAATTAATAGGAGAATACGACTGTAAAGCGGCACGTATGGTGAAAATGCGCGAAATATTCCAGTCCAAATTACCTTTGAAGCTGAAAACCAAAGTCTACAACGAATGTATTCTACCAGTAGTTGCCTATAGAAGCGAAACATGGACTCTTGCAAAGATAATTCTAAATAAGCTGCAAGTACTTACATCAGAAGGGAGAATGATAGGTATTACACTAAAGGATCACAAGACCAACGAGTGGATGGGAAATACAACAAAGGTCGGAGACATTACACACATAATATGCACCCTCAAATGGAACAAAAGCAAGAACTTGGAAGAGAAATTTGGCACGAATCTTCGGTACCGTGAGGCAAGTCCTATAATTCGTCGAATCTCAGTGACTGTCGTAGGAGTGGGGATATTTGAAATTGCTTCGACCTTTTCAGGGTTGACAAGAAGACCAGAGACTGTATTCTCGATACCGAGGAACAGCGTTCTCATGAGAACGATTGCTCTGTTATTGTCAGTGTTATGGAAATATGAATACGGACAGAACCTTCGTTCTCATGAGAACGCTGCTCCCCTGTTCCGAGAATAACGTCCCTGAGGAGTTGACAATATATCCAAGGTAGGTTCAATTCCGGCTTGCAGAAAATACATTTATCTTTATTCAGGGTTAATCCAGCACGAAGACGAGAAATAACCTCACGAAGAATGCTGATGTGTTCCTCAAATGTGGAGGTACAAACATCGTCAAAGTACACGAAAACAGACGCCTCCATTGCTACTCTAATGACATGATGAATTAACCGCTGCCATACCGCAGGAGCATTGGTGAGCCCAAAAGGCAGCCGTTTAAACCGAGACAGACCACGAATGGGGACAGTGAAAGCAGTAAGTGGCTTCGATTCCTCAGCAATGGGGATTTGCCAATGCGCGGATTTAATGTCCAAGGTACTGAGGTGTTTGGCATCACGCAATTTATCCAGTGTGGCAGAAATTGAATAGGATATGAATCGGGAACGGTAACTTTGTCAAGGGCGCGGTAGTCTACACAAAAACGCCAGCCGCCGCTCTTTTTTTAATTATAACGATCGGAGATGACCAAGGTGAATCTGACGGTTCAACTATACCATCAGCAAACATTTTCTCTAGTTCTGCGTTAACCTCGGTTTGCAAACCGTTTGCAGAGCACGGGAAAGCGGGTAATATCGCTGCTCCATCGGAAGCGAGCTCGTCTTGATTACCAATTCGAACAAATTTGTACAACCTACGTGGTCATGCATGTCTGAAAATGTTGTATTAACTAAATCCTCGAGAAGGCGTTGTTGATCGGGGTGAAGATTAGGATGATAATCCTGGAGATTACGGAAGTGTCATTCGCTAGCCTGGAGGTAAGGTACAATACCCATGCGGGAGCAGAAATCAATAATCAATACCGAGAATCAAAGAATGAAAAAGGGAAGGCATCACCAAAGCTTCAATCACTACAATTCGCTCTCAAAGCTGAATTGGAAGTCGAATGAATGCAAGGACTTGAGAAGCCTCTCCATTTGCCACTGTACAATGAAATTGGCATTAGCTGATTTTGCAGGACGCTCGCAGAAATTCCTCACTAATGACGGTTCTTGAGGCACCACTATCCAATAAACCCAAAAAGGATCTGCCGTATATTGTCACATTCAAGTAAGGTCGTTAATCGCCTTAAGCGTGAGCCAGAACATAATCCAAGAGAATCTTGGGCCTCAAAATTGAATGCGAAAAGGTAAGACATTTGGCCTAGTGCCTTACCGGTTGTTCGTTTTTTGAACAAGTCGAACAAGACCTCAACGTTACTCCATCTTTACCATAAAGGTAACAAAACATTTTGCGTTCCCGCGAATACTGACGAAAACGATGCTCAGGGCTTCTACAATTCCAACACATATTCGGTTCTCTGGAATTAGAGATGACGTCAACTGTGACGGGTTCGACATCAAAACATATCTGAGCGACGAGCTGAACGGAGGACAGGGATTCAGAGCTATCCAACACATAAATATTATAGCTAGGCTTATGGTAAGCAAGCTCGGGCTCCAAAAGCTGACGATAATTTGTTGGAGGGGGAACAAAACGTCAAAGACGTGATTCAGTCTCCTCCACTGACCGACTGAGGCGCATAAGTTCTTGCAGAGAGGAAATATCATGCGTAGCTAAATTTCCCTGAAGATATGGCAAAAGACTTCGACGTAACAACTAAATTTTAGTTGATTCGGGTAATTTATTGAAAAGATTTTGCATTGCCACTACGAAGCTGATGTCCCTCTCCTGGGAACCCTAAGTTCTTTGGCGGATTTCATCCCAAAGAGAAATTTCGTAATCGTATGGAAGAAAGGCATCCTTTAATTGGGAAATTAAATCATCCCAATGTTGGAAATTGCATACCCAAGTCCCATACCACAGCAGAGCATCTTTAGTGAAAAGCTCAGGAGCTGAACAAAGCCGTTGGTCCTTAGAAAAGCCTCTAAAAAGTCTCATTTCCTCGACTCTTTCCAGGAAATTCGACAAACTATTTAAGCGGCTGATATCCTTAAAAACAGTTGAAGTCGACTCATACGAATATAATGGATAATGTGAACCGCGTAGTGGAGAAAACTGTAAATCATCTAACCTCCTAAGAACAATTCTCCGACCATCGGATGTTTGTTGTCTTTCTGAATGTTCTAACAATCGATGGTTGCGACCAGACTCGTTATGTTGGGATGTTGATGAGGATGGATCATCGTCCAATGCAATTAAATCATTAGAAACGTGAGGCCGATCGAAAGAAGTACTTTCGTGAATTTCCACTTCCTGTTCTACCGATTGGGTCTCATCAATGGACTGAAACCTTTGGCATAGCGTGTTATGTCGTTCGATTAAATTGTTTTGAAGAACTTGAACTGGTTCATCAACAGGATAAATACGAGGTATTCGTGTTCTAATGGGCTCTAAAACGGTAGAAATTTTGCGAAGTTCGACCTCCCGATTATCGTGATTGAATCCCAAAATATACCGTTCGACTGAATAAAGCTTGGAACCACACAAGTACAACTCACTAACGGTCTCGAATGATGACGATGATGGTGGATTCACTCTACCTTCACATTCAAGTTTCAACGCAGCTCTAAGGTCTGCTATACGTTGGGCAAAAGTTGTTGTTATAGGCAACCCTCGAACAGTCAATTCATATTTTAGTTCCTCGTTTCCCAGACAGTTCCCATTCATTTTGGTTCAAGGATTTTCCTCAACTGAACTTCGATTTACGAAAAGAAGAACCAAGTTGTTACGTCCAGATTCTGGTCGCAACGTCGTCCAAATGTTGGATGATAAACATCCAACGGCATAAAGCCAGGATAGAAAGGGATAAAAAGTCCAATTTAAAACAATGACAAATCAGGATTTATTAATAGAAATAAAAAAGGAAAGTTTAACACAAAATAGCATAATGAATAAATAAATAAAATAAACATAATGAAATTAAGAAAATCGAAAATTAAAAGTTAAATCAGATTGCGATATAAAATAAATCAGCGGAAAAGTAACAATAAGATGGAGAACCTGGCGAGAACGAAGAAGCATTAGCAGACGTCAACAACGATGGTATCAGGTCCCACAGAATAGAAATACCTGGCAAAATCTGAGAGAGGCCTATATCCAGAGGATGGAGAACGACTAGGAAGACGAAGGATTAAGTTTCGTGAATAGGTGGAACGAAAGGTTTGTTCTCAAAGTCTCGTGAAACTAAAAAGTTGCCGGTAGAATAGTTAATATAAATTAAGAACGTATAAAAATGAACCTACTTGCATTGAAAACTAGATAACTCAAATCAAAAATATCTTTAATGTTTTAAACACAATTATAACAAAGAAGTTAAGAATCTAAAATGGAATTTAGTTGCAGTAACATAAACAGATAAGTTCTTGAAACGAGTCGGATTCAACATAAATGTTGAAGACGGAAATAAAACTGGTAAAACCACAAAAACAAAACAAGTCTTATACTTAGGTAAACCATAAGTACCATCGTTAAATACCTACTAGACGTATGTAGCTACAATATACATATTGCTACTATTTATATGAAGATATAAATAAAAAAATAATCAAACAAAAACCTAGTAGCATTTCAACTGAAAAAGAAATTTCCGAAACACAAAAACAATAAAGGATCTTTCTGTAATAAGTCGTAGCAACTAAAAATAGAAAGAATGAATAAAATAACAACAGAAGAAAAAAAAAATACATCAGTAGAATGTGTTTACAAAAACAAACATCAGAAAATCAATAAAAAATAAACAACATTTTGAATGACATGGAAATCAATAATTCAATGCAAAATCGATATACTTCTGGACGAGAGACAAGACTTGAGAATTTGAAAATGGTGGTTGATAATGAAGTTGAAAAATATTCAGTTTTTAGATTCATGTCTAGATATGTCTTTGATATTGGCATTGGATTGTGTCAATCAGAAATAGGAAATAAGTATTTGATTTCTTGCTTAACTATCCAAACACTCAACTGAGCTAGAATTTGCTTTAGGTGATTCGTGAGTACAATATTCAATTGATTTTATTCTACAATTGATCCAGGATTGTAAATTGCATTTGGAGTCATTACAGCATGTTCAGATATTTTGTGCGTAACTCTGCTTCTAGTTGGTTTCCAAGATTTGTAGACTTCTTCCAAAGGAGGCCAGCTTCCTAGGTGATAAAGTGCCCACCTCTTGGGGGGTTTGAGGTACCCCTATAAGGTATTTCAGCCTTTTGCAGAAAGGAACAGAGAATTCACAGAGTGAATGTTCTGTAGTGTCTGTTGCTTATTCCCAAGATCTGCAGTGGACTAATTTGCCAATTATTTCTAGGTGATATTTTACGAGGCAGTGCAAGCTGTGTTAGCTGTGGCAGTGCCCAGTGAGCAGACCAAAGACTGTTCGAATGTCTCTTCTGTTCTTATCAAGAAGTTGTTCAGATCTCTTTGCTGAGATGCAATGAACCGTTTTACCTGTCTCAGACCCGGAGTAGATCGCCAATGAACTAGCATTCGGTTTTTTTCCTATCTGTTCATTTCCTTGAATACGTGGCTTTCATTAGTCCACAAAAAGGCTCTGGGCCTTGAAAGGCCGTTACCTTCTCGTTGCCCTGCATGCCCTGGTGTTCTAAATTCCACATTAGGGTTACTTTGTTCCTCTCAGCCAGTTGTTTAACCCTCCCAGTCCCGAACTAGCTGCGAACTGCACTTGATGGCTCCTAGAACCTTAAGAGCCGCTCGACTGTTGGACAGCCTCTTTTAAGACACACAGATGTTTATAGCCAGTACCTCAGCTTGAAATATTGTGGGTGTTTCACCCATTGCTAAGATGAATTTAAAGTTTGGTCCAGTTATTTTCAGACCGACTCCTTCTGTTAGCGTACCACAATGATGCATTTTCCGCTTGCTGTATAGCTTTGCGTTCTTCCACCAGGTCAGGTTAACATAGCCTCCGTTATTCCCAGACACATTAGCCTTTGTACTCTACGTAGACTGTTCTGTGCAGCATTGAATTGCTCAGTCTTTGGCCACCGTACCAAAGTTTACACCATACCAACAAGGCGTAGGTGACAATGGGTCTGACGTCTGTTAGGTAAATCCAATCCTCGAGTGCCTTTCCTATATCTGTTACTAGACACTTGTTGTGGATTTGCCTGCCTGGTAGGCAAATTGCCTTGGATGAAGCGGCCTGCTATTTAGAATTTCGCTTCTGATGTATTGGTTTATTACTTTCTCCATAGATTTAGGAAGAATGAATGGATGTTAGGCTATTGGGTCGATAGGATTTTGATTCATCCCCTGGCCTTTGGTATAAATGTCACTTCAGACTTCAGCCTGTGAAACGTAACTCAGAGTGAAGCTAGTACCTTTAGGATATTGTGACCCTCTCTCTGAGTGAAGAAACTAAATATATTGTATAATAATAAACACATAATTACATGAAAATGTCACCATTAATAATTTCAAGGTCCAATAAATATAGGGAAAATGGTATTTTTGTTGTTTCGCATAGATTGCGTAGGATACCTAGTTTGATGCGCCTTACTGAATTATTTAACGTCTATTAATCTATTACGTAACTTAACCTTATATTGTCGATTGTTGTTAATAATAATCCAATAATTGAATAAAGACTTTCTAATTGGCTACAACAGATTAACAAAGAGCTAATTTGAACGGTTCAAAACAATGCGACTTTTGTGTAAATTCTAGGTATTAAGTTGAAGATATAATACATGTTATTACATTAGTTCCTGGTTTAAATCACCCCGAGGGTAGGTAACTTTATGATATAATGCACAAGTTTTTCGACTTCTATCCTCAACCAAGCCCATGCAGAAAATGTAAACGACAACAATATTCAAGGTTAAGGAAAAAATTAGTTGCACCTTAATTCTGCAATATGCAAACTTTAATTATTTCAAATTGACTTTCTACTTGAAATGTCACTTTGTCGATTTGAGAAGACAATCAACAACGGGGCAATTTTCATTCTCTTCAGGTGCTTGTTGTTTTATTTTTATTCAAGCACCTGTCGATTTTGCTTGTGGCTTTTGCAATGATTAATGATTCAACCACATATTTCACGTTTCATGCTGTTCTAGGCAGTTTCAGGCTTCATGTGAAATGGAAATAAGCAGGAATTCCTCAGGTTTTTCCTGGAAGAGATGGCGTTGTAGGAATGATACTGATAAAAGGGTGTCAGAAGATATCTAGGATTTTAAGTTTTGAATTTTGAATGTAAAAATTATTTATCGCAAAAACTATTAACTGTTCGCTAACCCTTTGAAGTCGCTGACTCAAGAAAAAGCAGGCAGAAGTCTCTTGAGGAATAACAATTTGGAGGTGAAGCGAGGAAGAAGGTAAGGAATTAGAACCGAACCGCATGGGTCATATGCATAAAACACGAGCATATGCTTTTGCTTAAAGTTTTTGAGAAAAACATATTCAGTTTCAATGCAGCAAAAGGAGACGGAGGCAGAGTAAAAGCATTTGCTACACTTTATTCATACGATATATTTTCTTATTCAAATATTCTTGTGATTTTTAATAAATTTTTTGGTGTTTTATTGACTGCAATCCCTAAATCATCTTAATCAAAATCCTTTAAATTGATTAAATTCGTAGCGTTTAACAGGGTACAAGAAATTCAGTCTCGGTCTGAATAAAGTTGCAGCAGTGGCCACAGGCCAAGCAGTTTTACTTTCTATTATTTATTTTTTTTTTGCTCCACCGTAGCCTGGTTAATATTTTAAACGCATGTATAGTTAATTTTGCGATTTTGTCACTTTTGCTTTCCGATAGTAAAAGTGGCGAGAATCGATCGATGAAATTCGTGGTTTTAGGGCTCTGGAATCTAAAGAAAGTAGAATAAATTAGTTTAAATACCTCTTCGACGTTATTTTCTGGTGAAACGCCATCGGCGGGCAATTCTGTCGTCGAAGTAGATGTGGACGATTTTCCGAAAATTAGAGCCGTCGCTCTGATTCCATATACATCTTGTAGACTTAACCAGAGGACACCTGAGAAGAAAAAAATATATTATACATAATGTACTTTTTATTTTTTAAAAATGTTTCTATAACTAAAAAAGCATGAAAATCATTCTTCTATGAAATTGAACTTGAGGAGTAAAAAGTAAACTATGATTCATGAACATTTCAGAACTAACGTTAAAATAGAGCGATCTAATATTCGTAGGTCCAAATGTTGATGGAACAAGTTGTTTCCAGAATTGGAGTACGTGGTTCTCGTAGCATGAAAATTCCTAATCTTGGGATGTGCAATATGTTCTTGAAGTGAAGTGCAAAATATTAATATTATCATATCGTCCATGTAAACTTGACATATTTTGTTTTGTACTTTGTAGTCCTATAAGTAGTTATCCATTACCCTTTGAAATGTCGCGGGGGCATTTCTTAGTCCGAAGGACATACAAGTTCATAATATCCATTCTCTACATTGACAGCCGGTTTGCTTATCGAGTTTGGATGCATTGAATCTTGATGAAATCATTGATAATAGATACCCATTACCAAGCATAACAGACATTCTACACAGACTTCGAAGAAGTTATTATTTTACTACGCTTGACTCAGCTTCTGGATTTCACCAAGTTGCAATGCATCCAAACTCGATAAGCAAAACGGCTGTTAATGTAGAAAATGGATATTATGATTAACTTGTATTTAAGTGAAGAATACCTACAAAAAGTAATTTGCTATTTCTGGAGATTCCAGAATAATTAACGTTAACGTGGAGCGGTATGGAAAAAAACATTTTTTATCTACTTAGAGCCAAAATTTAATTGAGGAACATTAAAAATTGTGCATCTGACCATTCCTGAGTAGAAGGCATTCGTTCAGAACTCACTTCTGCACTTGTTTAGCCGAGACGCCGAAAATTCTTTAATTGGCTCTCCTAGAGATGAAATTTCAACTAGAGAAGCATGGAAACCTCATTATCAACTCTTCTAGAGCTGTAATTCAACTAGAAAAGTGAAAGGTGATTTCTGGGCATTCCAGAATTAACATCAGAATAGAGCGGTTTGAATAAGATTTTGGATCTTCGAAGAGCTAAAATTTGACTGTAGATGCTTTGAATTCGCATGTCTGGCCATTCTAGAGTTGAAGTAGAGACGGTATACTTTGGAAAGCTCATATCTTAGAGCTGAAATTCGACCTAAGACTAAACTCTCTAGACAGGCATACATCGAAACCTTATATCCAACGCTTCTAGAGTTAAAATTGGAGTTAAAAAGTAAACTGTAATTTCTGAGCATTCCAGAATTATCATCAAAGCGGTTTCAGAAAGATCATTTTTGATGTTTGAAGCGCTTATATTGAAATGAAGATTCCCAAATATCGTATGTCTGACCATTCTAGAGTTGAACTGAAAACGGAACATATTAAAAAGTTTTGGAACTAAAAATAAAACCTCTTTGGTCACTTCACCAGGGGGTCAAAAGATTCTGATTGCTCAAGTAGAAATCTAAAGAGTTTGGAGCAAGTCAAGAGCCGGTAATATTCCAAATTTTGGTTAATAGGCGCTAATGAAAAGCGAAAAACTTTGATATGACTATAATGAAGTCGGTGATAATGGAAACTCCATAAGTGATTAGATCTTGAAACAATCGGTGGTATGAATAAAAACGAAGTACTTGCTACTACTACAAGTATTAGTATGTTCTACGTAGTATTTACTTCAAAACGAAGTAGATACTACATTTCGAAACGACCAAAATGTAGTATCTACTTCGTTTTGAAGTAAATACTACGTAGAACATACTAATACTTGTAGTAGTAGCAAGTACTTCGTTTTTATTCATACCACCCAATAACACGTCCTTCAAAGGTAAATCTGAAAGTGCCGATTTTTACCCAGTGTGATGCAAAAACTTGTAAATTCCTTTCTCCGAATGATAAATTATCATTTACGAATCAGGTACACATGAACATGAAATCGGAACCAAAGAGGAAATACAAGTTCACACAAAGACGTATAGAAACCCACATATTCATTATTCATAAACAATGAGTGAATAATCAAATTCAATAAATGTTGAAAGAAAACATTCTAGATTCATGGTCCCCAATACGGATTGTCCATTGTCCTTAAAAAATTAATCAATGATTCAATAAAGAAATCATTGATAATAGATACCCATTACCAAACATAACAGACATTCTAGACAGACTTGAAAGAAGACGAAGAACTTATTATTTTACTAATCTTGACTTAGCTTCTGGATTTCACCAAGTGGAAATGCATCCAAACTCGATAAGCAGAACAGCTGTTAATGAGAATGAGAATAGATATTAGGAAATTGTATACCCTTCGGACTAAGAAATGCCCCCGCGACATTTCAAACAGTAATGGATAACTACAAAACAAAACATGTCTAGTTTACGTTGTCGATAACATAATATTTTCCACTGCACTTCAAGAAGATATTATTGCATATCCCAACCCAATTAAAGTTTATTTTTGGAGGAAGACTTTGTGTTCAAAAGATATTTGGAAGATTAGAACAATTAGACAAATCCGAATTCCCAAAGAAATCGGTAGAATTCTTGGGACTGTGGATTATTGTGGTTCTTAAATAACTTCTCCTAGGAATGAGGCTGGCCAGATCGTTAGAACATCTCCCATGGTAATAGAGATAGAATTGGATTATTGGATAGTTGGATTATTAATGCTCTTCTTTCTACTGCATCTAATAGAGCCAAGTACAGTACCTATTCCATACATGGTCTGAATTGAGCCTCATAAAGAAGAAGTTGTTCTAAGTTTGATTTCAGACTTGAAACAACAAATCAAGCTGCTCTAACGGATTTTGACGAATTGGAGGCAGAGATCCAAGACAAACCAGAAGATGATTGACAAAATAGTGAATGAGCCCCTTTCTTAACAAAACCATGGACGAGAGAATTTGGAGAGTGTCGAGAGGTTTTCGAAGCTAGGTGTCGGAGCTGGAAGAAACATCAGACAGCTCTACATAAACTTACAAATCTTTTGCCGATGATTGACAGGATTGAAGATAGCATAGATTTCACTAGAGAAGCTTCATTGACTTGAAATCTACAAGAGACTGACACACTTAATCGATATAGAGGATTCAACCACTGATGTCACACAAGATAATACACTTTCTATATTTTTTAAAAATACATATGCATATTCAGGATCAATAATTAAATTTTATTATTCAACGATCATGTTCCTATTCACGATATATCAATCCATTTTCACTTTATGTATGTAAAAACAAACAAAAAAAGATAGAAGACAACCTTCACCTACTAAAATGAAATTCACCACCATTAGACACACGATCGAGCATGTGTCTTAAAATGAATTATTATAGCATTACAGAAAAAAGATTCATTTTCATACGATAATAATTATTGTTGTTGAAAGTGAGTTTTTTCAAATTGTAAGATAAATCACTTACCAGCTGATAATAGTATCCACAGCCCGGGAGGTCTTTTCATTCTGAAACAAAAGACAAAAATCATTGAAATTGTGCAATTTTAACAATTAAACAACAAATCCTTTTTCTCTAATTATTTGTGTTAAGTCAAGCATTGACGAAATCGTGTTAATTAAAATTTGACTCGAAAACAAAGTGATACATTTTCCTTTCTGGCTTTAATTTTTTCTTGTCAGGAATCAGATGAAGGTGCGGTCCGCACGCAGGTAAAACTAAACTGCCTTCTCAAGTGAAGGTAACCAGCTTTTAGGTGGACATTCTTTTCGTGTTTTGTAGCTATAACAGTAACAGGTTGATGTGGAATTTTTTGCACCTTTTATTTTTTTTGCGAATTTTATCTCTAATAAGAAAACCTTCGTTGATTCAGATGTCATTTAAATGGTAGATATTTATTTCGGAAGAATGGCATTTTGCAACACACTGTTTTATGTATTGGTGTCATTACGCTGACAGGCAAATCCAATCAGAATATATAATCGAAACGTGAAGATGATCAGACAGAAAAAATGTCGCCATTTGATTTTGCAATTGGTAATAATTGTTGCATTAGACTAAATTAGGTACCTACTAAAAGTAGAAATTTAAGTTTAATTGGCATATTATACTTCAAACAATGATTCAACTGGGGGAGACAAGATAACAGGGGAAGGCTATGATGATTTGAATAACGCGAAGACAGGAATGTGAAAACAATTCAATCGAGTAAAGGCAAAGTCCATAAAAATATAATATCTCAGGCGAATGACAATGAGAGGAACAACAAAATTATTGTCCGTCGTTTTTAATCTGGACACTTTTCGTATGAGGAACGAGGGGGTGAAGCCGGTGAAGCTTATGGCAAAAACAGGTTTGACGTCATCAGGTGACCATTGGCGTTTTAACGTAGGGAGCCACCAGCTCATATTTTTTTGGAGTATCAGATTAAAATCGACAGATTTTACATATTTCATCCTCACAGATCGCCAGGATTTAATCTCATATGTATTTCCAACTCTACTCCAAAAGGAACAGGATATTCTGCTACCCACAATTGTGGCAAGCTTAGAATACCCCATAGATATTATACAGTCTTTGAGCAGTGCATGCTGCCTGTTCTTACCCACGGTGCAGAAACACTCACCCTCGCAAAAAAGAAACGGTCAGATTGCATAAAAAGAATCCAGACTAGGTAATTGGATGAATATAGATGGGACACACCATCATTTACTGATTATCTGAGAAATTATGATGCCAGATGAAGAATTATGAATTATCATTCATGATTATAAAGAATCTTGAGCAGTTAAAGGAGAATGTGTCAGCACAAATTGATTTTCCCCTAGAGTTCTTATTTATTTACCAAATGAATATTTGCTATGGACCCTCAATTATTATTCATGTCAAGTTTTTGCAGGTGCAAAAAATGTCAGACATTTCAACAGTACCTCCTATGAACCACAAAAATACATATACCTGACCTGACTGAGATTTTCTTCAGATTACTTTAATGAACCATCAATAAGCATTTAATATTAAAGTGTTCACGAATGAAATATTCCAGCAACTTTCATTAAATTTAACGTGTGTCGTTAAATTTAATTTAATGGATTTCTTCGCTAATTATGCCTTTTTTATTTCATCCATCATCTTTAATGTTTATCGAGATGCTATTCATGACCTGGTGATGCGCGTCCATTTTTGCTATTTTTAATGTGCCAATAGAGAATCAAGGTTCATTATAATAATATGGCAATAGCTTTTTACGTAACCTCGTTTTTAGGTGCTTTATGTAACCTGTGGTGTGTGATTTTCCTATTGATCAATTGCTTAAAATTTGTGCTAGATTTTTTTTTGCACTATCTATGTCACAAGATTCGTGGTTGAATTATTGTTGTCGATAAGTATATACCTATAGGCGAAGGAAAAAAGCAAAAGTGCGTTGAACCTGACTGAAGACTTCCGTTACCTTTACCATGTAGAGACAAAGGGGCCATTATTTTATAATACACAATCACAATACATTGCACACCGTACATTTATTGCATGCCAGGTACTTATTATAACTAGGGATCTATCGCAAGACAAGTTGTTATAATTTTTATTGAATATTTGAGTTATTTGAGGCTCATTTTGTTAGTTTGTATAATCATAATTGGTTCAGCGAAATATCTGATTTTTTTGCCTTGAGTTTCAAATTACTACTCATTTAGTCCTACATCCTACATATTATTCATTATTTTTTTCCTAAATATCACTTTCCTAATTATTATTTTCCTTTCCTATACTACTATATAACAAACTATGCTACCAAAACAACGTCAGATGAAGGAACAACATCGAGGATTACACATGGTCACAAGCTTCTCGTCCTGGAATCAATGAAGGACATTATTTCAATAATTCACAAAGTACAGGTGGACCCGGTTAGGAAGGATAAAAATACATAAGGAAAAAAACAACGGAGCACGACGATCCTAAGTCAACCCCTTATACAATTTTAAGAACTGAATGAAAAGTTGGTTCTAAATCCTTATCCAATAGAATGAGATCCATGAAAGATTGATAATTTAGTGGCAAAAGTTGCCGCTTTTCCAATTCACTTCTGAGATATAGTACTGCCTGCACGTTGTGATCTCATCCAAACAATCTATACCGGTGTGAAGTTAGCAGCCAAAACTTGGCATCCAATTTGACGGAAACGCCCGAATGACCAGTGGCGTAGCATTGATTATTAATTCAAAGTAAATTCAATAAACCATACTTAGACATCGAGTCTAGCTATGAAATTGATAGGGTACTATTTAAATATCATCTCCAATCCCCATGCGAAATCCCATTAACTCAAACCCCGTCGAAATATGGAAAACTACCCTTAACAAGTGAAAATGCATAAATATTGATATTTTCGTATTTTTTCCAACTCGGACTTCGAGTCTTGCCATTAAATTAATAGGGTACTCTTTCAGTACTATACCCAACCCCCATGCAAAATCCCATTTACTCAAACCCCGTCGAAATATGAAAAACTACCCTTAACAAGTGAAAATGCATAAATATTGATATTTTCGTATTTTTTCCAACTCGGACTTCGAGTCTTGCCATGAAATTAATGGAGTACTCTTTCAGTACCATACCCAACCTCCATGCAAAATCCCATGAACTCAAACCACGTCGAAATATGAAAAACTAGCCTTAACAAGTGAAAATGCATTAATATTGAGATTTTCGTATTTATGCCTTTTCACTTGTTAAGGGTAGTTTTTCATATTTCGACAGGGTTTGAGTCAATGGGATTTCGCATGGGGGTTGGGTATGGTACTGAAGGAGTACCCTATTAATTTCATGGCAAGAGTCGAAGTCCGAGTTGGAAAAAATACGAAAATCTCAATATTTATGCATTTTCACTTGTTAAGGGTAGTTTTTCGTATTTCGACGAGGTTTGAGTAAATGGGATTTTGCATGGGGGTTGGGTATGGTACTGAAAGAGTACCCTACTATTTCATGGCAAGACTCGAAGTCCGAGTTGGAAAAAATACGAAAATCTCAATATTTATGCATTTTCACTTGTTAAGGGTAGTTTTTCATATTTCGACAGGGTTTGAGTCAATGGGATTTCGCATGGGGGTTGGGTATGGTACTGAAGGAGTACCCTATCAATTTCATGGCAAGAGTCGAAGTCCGAGTTGGAAAAAATACGAAAATCTCAATATTTATGCATTTTCACTTGTTAAGGGTAGTTTTTCGTATTTCGACGAGGTTTGAGTAAATGGGATTTTGCATGGGGGTTGGGTATGGTACTGAAAGAGTACCCTACTATTTCATGGCAAGACTCGAAGTCCGAGTTGGAAAAAATAAGAAAATCTCAATATTTATGCATTTTCACTTGTTAAGGGTAGTTTTTCATATTTCGACGGGGTTTGAGTAAATGGGATTTTGCATGGGGGTTGGGTATGGTACTGAAAGAGTACCCTATTAATTTCATGGCAAGACTCGAAGTCCGAGTTGGAAAAAATACGAAAATATCAATATTTATGCATTTTCACTTGTTAAGGGTAGTTTTTCATATTTCGACGGGGTTTGAGTTAATGGGATTTTGCATGGGGGTTGGGTATGGTACTGAAAAAGTACCCTATTAATTTCATGGCAAAACTCGAAGTCCGAGTTCGAAAAAAATACGAAAATCTCAATATTTATGCATTTTCACTTGTTAAGGGTAGTTTTTCATATTTCGACGGGGTTTGAGTAAATGGGATTTTGCATGGGGGTTGGGTATGGTACTGAAAGAGTACCCTATTAATTTCATGGCAAAATTCGGAGTCCGAGTTGGAAAAAATACGAAAATATCAATATTTATGCATTTTCACTTGTTAAGGGTAATTTTTCATATTTCGACGGTGTTAGAGTAAATGGGATTTTGCATGGGAGTTGGGTATGGTACTGAAAGAGTACCCTATTAATTTCATGGCAAGACTCGAAGTCCGAGTTGGAAAAACTACAAAAATATCAATATTTATGCATTTTTACTTGTTAAGGGTAGTTTTTCATATTTCGACGGGGTTTGAGTAAATGGGACTTGGCATGGGAGTTGGGTATGGTACTGAAAGAGTACCCTATTAATTTCATGGCAAGACTCGAAGTCCAAGTTGGAAAAAATACGAAAATCTCAAGATTAATGTATTTTCACTTGTTTAGGGTAGTTTTTCATATTTCGACGGGGTTTAAGTTAATGGGATTTTGCATGGGGGTTGAATATGGTGCTGAAAGAGTACCCTATTAATTTCATGGCAAGACTCGAAGTCCGAGTTGGAAAAAATACGAAAATCCCAAGATTAATGTATTTTCACTTGTTAAGGGTAGTTTTTCATATTTCGACGGGTTTTGAGTTAATGGGATTTCGCATGGGGATTGGAGATGATATTAAAATAGTACCCTATCAATTTCATAGCTAGACTCGATGTCTAAGTATGGTTTATTGAATTTATTTTGAATTAAAAAACAATGCTACGCCACTGGTCGTTTGGGC